ATGGAACATTGTGGGTGTGGTGTATGAATGTTAACACTGTAATAATTCTTTGGTATGTTACTTGCATGGTGTAGAAGATAATTATTTAAGAATGTAGTTATGTATGAATGTTAACACATTTTTTAGTATATTACTTTTGTGGTGTAGAAGAGAATTATCTATGTAGAGATACTGCTTGCAAACCAATGATGGTAAGATGATGTCATGGGGTAGGACTGGATAAGTCTGACTTCTTCCTACTCCATTCAAGCATGTTCTAGGTATAAGCAAATTGATATTGGATTAGCATTTGTTGGATATGTGTAAAATTATATCAACTGTCTTTACATGCTGTAAAGAATAAATAAATAAATAAATAAATAAATAAATACATCAGTTTTACTAAATTGCTATTTTTTTCCAGTCTCGGCACAGAACGTGATGTTATTTCTATGTTATAAATCAGAGATATTCTATTAAAGCCCAGGCCCTCTGTGCTGGGTATTACTTGCTTTTCTTGGACAAAGTGCTCATTGACAGGAAGACGAACTGACCGATGCGATTTGATGTGTTTCTCATAAAAGGTGTCTCTAGGATTGAATGCAGTGAGGTGCCAGTGATTAACTGCAGAGCTGCAGAGTTCATGTTGCTTTTGTTTATTTAATGAAGACACTGATGGAATGGTCATGCAGATTTAGAATCAGTTTTGTGCACAGTTGATGCACAGACAGTGAGTGATTTACTGATGTTGCTCTCAGTGATCCAGTTAGTCATACAGCAGCACTTTACTGTAGTAAGAATGCAGGCAGAGCGGAAACAAATCACTCTAAGAGATAAAGATGGTGCAGTTTCCAAAGTAAAGTTTGAACTTTCTGATCACGGATGTAAAAATAATCTTTAAAAATGTCCCAACAATACACCCATTTGAGAGCGTATAGGTAATGTTAACCAGCCAATAATTGTTAGCTTAGCTTAGCACACAGACTAGAAACAGAGGGAAGCTAGCCTAGCTCTTCAAAGGTAACAAAGTTCACCTACAGTGCAAACACCTCTAAAGCTCAAATTAACATGATGTATTTTTTTTATTTAATTTGTGCAAATATCAAAGTATAAAATTGACATGCTGCAGTTAAACGGTGATTATTTGCCGGACTTCTTCTGCTCGGGCAACCCAGTGGAAGCCCAGTGAAATCAGAACCGTGTACAGGTTAAACAAATGAGATATAATATACTAACCAGAGAGCTAGGTTGTTATTTTCCATAATATGACCCTGTCACAATACGCATAGATACTATCAGTATAACGTTACTATTGTTGATACTGTGATATCGATTGTGGTCATATTGCCCAGGAATATTTACTATGATTCAGTTGGTCTGATACTTGTTTTCTTCACACTAGATGCTCCATAAACCATTAAGGTAAAGTTTGAACTGATGATGATGCACAAGACTGCAGTCAAGACGCAGAGTGACATTTCTTAGTGAAAGCAGATTTAATTTACAAAGAGTTGGTGAGAGTTCTATGGTGCACATGACACAGAATCACTACTGAAGGTTTGTAGAACCCTGATGAAAAATATTAACAGTACTGAAAATTACACTTAGACAAATAGGAAGAAATAAAGGTTACATTTACATACACATACTGTGTGATATGACATCTCAGATTGTGCCTTATGGCTCAGCTGTCCCAGCAGAAACCTTTTTGTGTGTGTGTGTGTGTGTGTGTGTGTGTGTGTGTGTTGGGCCCTCTGAATGTGCAGTGTATATATTGATCTGAATACTGAGACAACACCATATGGATCAAATGGCCAAGACACTCAAAGACCCAAGGCCTAATCCCTGCTAGCTACGTTTACTGGTCCAGTATCACATTTAAAACAGAGTGAAATTAACTGTTTAAAAAAAAACATTTTGTAATAATAAGTTAAGAGTACCAGATTGTCCTTGCATAACAGCGGTCTTATAAAAATCAGATGACGGGCAGTGTCATATACATTCCTGAGACAATCCTGATAATTACTGTATGTGTATTTGTGAATGAAGCCATAGTTTGTAACTGTTATGCAGTTTAAAATGAAACACACTGAATAGATACTCTAGGTTAAAGACTAACACATCACTTTGTGTTTTAAAATCATGCAATGGGATATTACAGAAAACATTTGTTATTGCTGAAGTTTTGTTGATGGCAAATATGTACAATGTTGTATACAGTTAACTCAGTCCTGTCTAGTAGAGATCACTTCAGTTATGTAATGTATTCACCTGAGTATATACAGTATGTAACACCATCTTCATAATTCGGTTCATCCACACAGCTCCAGGATCAAACCAAGCCATTTAGCTTCTTTTTCAAGCCTGTGGCAAATGACTTTTACACAACCAGATGGCAGTCAGTCAGTCAGTACTCGTGGCTGGCTGTGCCATCTTTTCCCCCCAACCCAGGAAGACTGACACTTACCTCAGCATGTGCCATGTTTACACAGCAGAAAGGAAAATTATCTTTTGTACTATTCTAGCAAGCTTATGAGGGACAAATCTCAAATTCAAATGTGCAGGCTAGTCATGCACCTTATTGCTGTTTAGTCTAATGAGGCAAGATTTCTCTTAACTCTATTTGAAATGTGGCAGTGTGTCATTGTTTTTTCTGTGTTGCATTCACTCCCTGAGCAAGTTGAATGAGATCCTGTGCCGTTAAACCTGAGTTTCCAAAGCTTCAAGGCTTGCTGGAAACAAAAAAGGAGCCTATGACTATGTTTAGTGGCAGTGCGTTCAGTAACAGCTGTTTGTAGCCTCACTTATACAAAGAGTAAGCATGCAATCCAACAGTTGGTGTGTGTATTAATTGATGCCAAGAACTGAGATACATGAGAGTATGAACTGTAGCATAGAAGTGAAAAGTCTGTGGATGATTTTATAAAAAAACAATAATGGTGACATTGTGAGAACGATGTCCATTTCAATGTACCGTTTTTAAGACAACCAGAGAACCCAGTCATACATGCATACACACTTAAGAAATTTGAATAATACAAAACTTTCAGCGTAAATCCTCAAAAAACCCTCTCTCTATGACTCTGTCTCAGACACTCTCCAGCACACAATCACAGCAAAACAAGGTTTAGGTTTTAGGATTGTCAGACAAAATGTTGCTCTGATAATCTCTCAGTCGCAGTAGAAACAAACTGTGGGTGTGAAGTTCATTTTTGGACAATAACTGCATCCAAGCCTCTGTCGTTTGTTCCCTTCCAGCATGCACAGCCAGAATCCCCCAGCACCTGTCACCCTGTTGGCATCACTGGTGTTCCGTTGGCCCGAGACTCCCTGTCAGACCCACACAGCTGTGTTGTGGTCAAACAAGGACTGCATTTTCTCCAGGCCAGTCACTGGTTGTCTCCTGTCTAAATAAATCCCTGCAAATGGTTGCTGGCAGAACTGGGGGAAGTGTTGGTGGGTTGTCCCTGCTTCAGCTAGATGTGGACATGGCCTACCTTTGCCCTGCTGTCCGTTTGCCCAGAACGGCAGGTAGAAACTGCCTTTTGAACTTTTAGCATTTAGTTTCTTTGGCCTTTTGAAGAGGTCGCCCTCTGGCAGCTCAGGAGCCATCCAGCCCGGTCTCTCCTTGAGCAGTTTGTCCCTGTCGGGCCTGACACTGCGCAGGAACTTCTTGAAGATGTTTGTGGTGAGCGAGAACTTCCTGCAGATCTCCTGTGAGCGGCTGAGACGAAGAGGGTGAGCTGAGGTGTCTGGTCTGTCCGCCCCTCCATCTGCTGTCCTGTCCACTCTACTTATCCTCATCTCCTCTTCCTCTACATCCTCCCTCTCCACCTCAGGCAGGTCCAGCCAGTTGCCCACAAGGTCGGCAAAGACATTGTCGCCCAGCACTAAGGGCTGACGGTTGCGGCTGCGACTCATGAGCGAAGAAGTCCAGTCGTTGGCGTCATCCGCGCTGTCCTGGGAGTAGTCGCTGTCCAGTGAAGGACCCTCTCTGGAGAGGCTGTACAGAATGCCAGGCAGGTCTACCACCTGAGCATTATGGGGAGCCTGTGGGTGAGGGTATGGGTCCGGTGGAGGGTTTCCCACCATTGGTCCATAAAAGTCTACCTGTGGGGCGGTGTATCCTGACCACCTCCTGGGTATAGACTCAAGGTCATTCTCACTTCTTGCAGTTCTTGTGCTTCTTTCGCTCTCTAGACTGGATGCAGAGGAAGATGAGGTTCCCAAGCTGCTTCTGTTTTGGGACTGACTAAGGTCATCTTGGCTGGAGGTGTTTCTGTTATCCAAAGACAGCCCTGGACTTGACATTAGAATTGGACTGGGCTCCTCAGCCATAGTTTGGCTGAAGCTGCAGGACCTACATGCTTTTTCTGATGCTGATGCAGATGCAGCAGATGTATTGGGTGGAACCAATGGCACAGAATGTGGGATCCCTCTGTTAATAGGTCGACCTGAAATGTCAAGGTTTTCTAGTGCTGTCTGGACCTGAAGAAGCTTGAGTTCCTGGAGGGCTCCCATCATTGAATTCATCTGAGCATGGAGGCCATCTCCTGCTTCTTTCATAGATAGCTACAGAGAGAACAAAAAATAGAAACAACAGACAAAAATCAGCAAATGTTCGGTTTGACTTAACAGCCTTGTAGCACTCATCAATTCAGTCACCTGACTCAGCCTCCTGCAGGAACCGTCTCATCTATCAAAGACTGATTTCCTCACTGCCCGCCTCTTGTTCATCATACATCTCAGCACCAGTACAAATCCAATTATACACCATCACTGGAGAGTATCAGGTGCATTACATTTACCTATTAATCAATGAAAATCACAGAAACTGTCCTGGTTTTTCTGTTTATCAGTTGGACTGTGCTTGTTTCTTGTTTGTTCCATGCTGCGCACCTTGTTTAATTATGGGTCATGTGACCTAGTTTTGAACAACAGGCCATGTCCATATGGCATGTGCATGAAAGAGGATCAAATCTATGGCAGCTGTAAAGCAGACTAACTTGCTGTTTCTTTCTTTTCTCTGATCCATTCTATTTCTCTTTGTGCATCCTTGCTTTTTCTCTACTTGCTTTGTTCCCGTAGATGCTCACTCTTACTTTCTTTTGTGCAGCACCAATCATACACTTTGCTTTTTGTTCTCATATGTTTAAGAGCCTGTGTCATGCGATCTAAGCGTCTTCTACTGAAGGCAGACAGAATGCCCAGAGGCTGCGTCCTGACCTGTGTCTTAACTCGCAGGGCTGACTCATTGCACACTGTGACCCAGACTATAAATTGTTCTCTTTGACACAGGAGGTTTATCTTCTATTATTTAAGAACACAATGGCAAACACAGTAACGGATTTATGATGAAACCTGCCTGGAGTCCTTCCCCTTTATTTAAAAACACCTATGGGAAGGCAGGAGATGGTGCGCCAGGAATTTTGAAAAAAACTGTGTGTGGGAAAATGTTAGTAAGAAACCTATGAAGCAAACCAACTGCAATTTCTTTTTCACATACACAGTCAAACAGCATACAACAGACAACTGCCAACTAAACAGAAATGCATTTTAATACATATACCACTGTTATAAATGTTTAGTAATAAAAACCCCACACCCTACCTTTGATAAACTGTCACAAAGCCGAAGGTGTAGAGTTCCCTGTCTGTCTGTGTTGCTAGTAGTCTACACCTCTGCCAGCCTGTCACTGTCTCTCACCTTTCAAATGGATCAGTCTGAGTGATCTTGTATATCTGTCTCCAATGGGGGAACACTGCCGGGTGTGACAGCCAATCAACACTATCTGTCTAGACAATAATCCCCAAACGGTGGGAGGTGGGGTCACTCGGGCGGAAATGGACTGACAATGAGAGGAGCGGGAAGGGAGACGGTGAGAAGGAGCGAAGGGGCAGTGAGAGTTACCCGGATGAGTAGGGATGGAGGGAGGGGAGGGGGCTATAGGGGGAAGTGGGTTGATGGGGAGGGATCCATCACCATATGTTTAGATGTCTAAGTGAAAACTGTTGATGGATTCAATTATGGATGACACCATAAGAACACAGGAGGGGGGTTATAATTAGGAGAAAGGAGGGGTGTAGGCATAACACCAGGCTGTGATACTTAATGTTGCGGAGCAGTGATTGTGTTGACCCCAGGGTGGGAAATGTAGCTGTACACGACAACTGACAGCATCATAAACAGTGCAACCTATAAGTGCCGTGAGAGAGAGCATGGGTCTTCTCAGAAAACAGACAAATATGATATATAACAAACATTTCTGGACTACATTTAGATTAAGAAATACAATTCTACCCATGTGAAAACAAACAAATGTCCAAAAACTCATAAAAAGCAACAGTACATACAGTATCTACCCTGTTACAACCTAGCTGTATGTTTAACACCTGGTTCAGAATGCATGATTAGTTTGTCTGATACGATGGCCACTATGTCAGATTACACAAATATAGATTAGAAATTCTTAGATGAGTGGTTAGCAGTGGTTAGCAGTGGTTAGCGGCTGTCGCCTCACAGCAAGAAGGTTCCCGGTTTGAGGCCGGGCCAACCCAGGGCCTTTCTGTGTAGAGTTTGTTCTCTCTGTGCCTGTGTGGGTTCTCTCCGGATACTCCAGCTTCCTCCCACACTTCAAAGACTGCAACTTAGGTGACTCTAAACTGCCTGTAGGAGTGAGTGAGGATGTGTGTAGTTCTTTGTCTACTCTTCAGCCTTGTGATAGACTAGTGACCTGTCCAGGGTCAGAAAAGAAACCCCAGTCAACTCTGAGGGGCGGTACCATAGATTATTCTACAATCTTCTGTGATACATTATTTAACTTATCATCAAAACTGTGGGTGATGGTACAAAACTATTTTCTCATTGCTATAGCACTTTATATACAAAGGCCCTTTCATATTGTCTTTGACATTTACCCAGTACCCTGCACTGTTAACATTAAACCTCTGGGTTAAAACACATTGCTCATCACTAACATATGGCTATGTAAGTGCACAGGGATGTGAACACCCTCTAAGATCAGATAATAAGCCCATCAATGCATATGCTGGGAACAAAAGGCTCTGAGCTTCCAGTTGACTCACTAAATTAGTCAGTGAAGGTACATGTAATTAGCACAGTCAGGTTGTGTCTCGTCTTTTTTTGCCTTCCACATATGGCTGACTTCATTAGCTGTTAATCGCCTGTGTTCTAGAAGAGGCTGATAAAGCGTGCATAATTATCTTTACTTTCCTCCACACGAAAGGTCAACTGGTCTGAAAGCAAGGTGACATATGGAGTTACAGTACGTGCTGTCGTTACATCTTTAGAGGCAGACACGCGGCTTTAGTGAAGTTGATGCAGGGATCAGATCAGGGATTACAGCACTTTGAACTGCTGAAATCTGGACCACTTTAATGTTTTGAAATATGATCTCCTACGCAGACCATTCTCATGCACCTGCTTGAACATGTTAACCAAAAAACGCCCTAATTTAACACTTACGTGCAACTTTTCCTTTAGCCCCAAAATGTAGACATTCTTTACACAGAGTTGTTTACTGGCATTTTTATTCTAAGGCAACACTAGTCATTCATATTGTCCCTTGGGGAACAAACAGAGGAACAGTAATAAACTATATCCTATTATTCCACCTTTACCATGCCAACTATCTCCAGGCACTTCACCACTGCTACTTCAAGGCTGAACTTTGTGGCCCAAACATGTCAGCCTTCGCAATCTTCATTCTGCTGTCTGCTAAAAGTGACATTAACATAACATCCCACAGCAGTTAGTTGTTTAGACACGGATGTTTTTCATCCAGGGATGTCAGTTTTACAATGCATGACTCAGCCTCATTAGCAAATCTTCTTTTTCAACCAAAGCCTCCGAGTACCTCAGCTATTTAACACATCAAGCATGCATGTCTATAAAAAGATCATTTTAAAAAGCAAGCCAAGTGAAAACAAGACAAATAGGGACTGTCCTGAATCTCCCGCTTCACCACCCACTTCTTCTGCAGTGATGCCAGTCAACCAGACATAATTGCCAATTAAAGGATGGAATACTTCAAAGTTTAAGAACAATGGCCGATGGTCTTGAATTAATGCTGAATGGGGGCTTATTAAAAGGTTCTGGGCATTTGAACTGAATAAATAATTTGATGACTCCTTATTTTATATCTTCACATCAAGAGGAGTTACCCAGAGGCCATTCAATATTCATGCAAGTGAATTAGCCTAAATACCACAAAGTATAAATAAATCAATGCTTCTTCTGTCTTTTTATGTTGAGCTCTTTGTCATGATAATCTCTTTCACTTATGAGGGGGAAATTAAATTCACTGTGCAAACACATTGAGCTCATATATATACTCGGACTTGCCTCACTTGAATGGAGTTGATGTCTTTTTCTTAAAGCATGTTTGTGTGCGCTTGCATATTGTGTGCACTGCACATTAACTGGATTGTTAGGTGGAAAATACAGTGAAGTAATATGAGAAATTGAAAGCCACTACCCTGTTCTGGCTATAAAAACGTACTGTTGTGTATTTGTTATTGGTTGTTGGGGAGAAACCAGTGAGGCCAAGGTTATCAGACCTAAAAGGTCTTCCTGTTTAGAAAGCAGCAGCTTGTGTGCTCCACCCTCCCTCCACCTCCAGCATTAATTAAAATGAATGGTGGGGTGTGTGGGTCAAGGACAGGAATGGGGTCTCTGTCTGGGGGATACAGAGAGGGTCTCTGTGACTGAATTGTTGGACATGCCACAGAACGTTGTGGACAGCCCTGAGGTTATGATCAAGAAGGCAGTAAAGCTGTGAAGTGCTCACTGAAAGAAATAAGTTGCTGTGCACACAGCAGTGAATGTCTCTTTGATTAAAACAAAACAAAAAGTTATATAGTGACTCTATTTGGTCTGAATGTCCTCATTCATGTTCAGGAGAGGATTGAGTGTGACTAATGTTCAGCCAAAGAACAAGGACACAAATACTCCGGGTCTTATATCATGTAGAGCCGGTCTTTAAATGTAGATGTCTGAACATTTTAACAGAATGTTCTACTTGTATTATTCAACCCGTGCTGATGCTGACTGAGACTTTTAGATACGTCTCTTATACACATCTGTAAAATAGATCTTCACTTAACAGGTTGATTCAAACAAATTTTAAGGGACATATTTTCTCACCCATTTCTAGTTATGTCTAACTATGCACATAGATCCCCCCCCACACACACATTTTGCAACCCCACCAGACAGAACTGATTTTTTTTTGTATATATATTCATGCTTCCTTCAATGTCAACGTCAGGGAACGATTGTGGTTATAGAAAATAAATTATGGTTAGGTTTGGGAAACTAAATCACTGGGTCAGGGAAAAACAAAGTTACTGTAATTTGCTGCATCCTGGTAGCCAAGCAGTTGTGGTGTGCTCCCTAGCATCCGCAGTTTGAATCCAGCAGCAAACCTACATTGCTGGATTCTGTTCATCAGGGAAAAGAGCCCCCCCCCAAAACTTACTGGTAATTACAATGGGATACAGACTCTGGAGTTGGCATGAAAGTCTGATGCCCCCTGCTCCCATCCACCACTCTGCTACATACAGGGAGCATTACTGCTTGCATTCGTACTATTGCACATCTGTGCCTCCACCTCAGTAACAGAAACAGTATCCCAGTTTCTCCGAACAATCCACTGACAAAAATCTGGAAAGCTTGGCAAAGAGAAATCAAAATTTTCCAAGAAGTAAGTGGAAATGGGACAGTCTCTTCAGAGATGGGAGGTGGTTTAATAGCTTGTTTCCTGCACGAGCTCATTTAGACCATCAGAAAAATGCTGCAGTCGTGGGAGACACAGGACGATCATCTTTGGCTGATGATATTTGGAGACGGTCTCTGACCCAGTCTATCTTCCTGTAATCTACTTGTTTGATAGGTGATTCATAATGAGGCAGTTGACGTCAGCATCTTGTGTGGGCAGTGAAAGTGTTTGGCCATTTCTCCCGCCCACAGTTGTGACATCAAGTGTGACGATAATTCTGTAGATGCTCCACATCCCGCCCCCTTGCAGTCTAATGTCAAAAGGAGCATATTACTGAAACATGCACTGAAGAAAGTGTTTGATCACTGTAAGCAATCCTGCTAACTGGCCAGATTTTTGTGCAGCACTGGGAGCATTGAGTTCAGTGTTGAATTGGGAGTGAATGAACCTGCATTAGCATCAACACATTATATGTTTAGCTACAGTTCAGTGTGTAATTCAGGGCATTTTGGACTTATACTGATTTCAGGTGAAGTTATAAATACACTGGAAGTAAATGTGGCTCTATATACTTTAAAGCTGCACTAATCAATATCCTTTACATTAGTATTGTCACTTGTAGTGACAAACCAACAAAAAATTGTCACCCAGATCTGTGGTTACCCTCAGTTCCGCCTTTCAACTGAACTTTTTATGATGGACAGCTTTACTGCCCAGAAACAGAAACATGACTCCAAGTCAGTGCTAATATTGCTGTATAATAAGATGGTGAACATCTTATTATACAGATGCCTATTTACACACGCCGTCCCTAGTGGTTAAGGCGCAGCACTCTCGCCGCTGTGGCCCGGGTTCGAATCAGGGTTGCGTCAGGAAGGGCACCCGGCATAAAACACGCACCAAATGTCAACATGCGAGTTGTCGGTGTGACGATACGCTGTGGTGACCCCTAAATGGGAAAAGCCGAAAGTGACTTTCTATAATAAGGTGTTCATCACAACAAATTTATACTGTTCATTTTTGTTTACAGCTTGTTTTGTTGCCCTCAAGTGCCAAAAAAAACAACAACTTTGTGCCTTGTTCTTTTGCAGTATTGGTTGTAAATCAACAAACAGTGTATCCTAAATAAATCTGCACTGTGACATCTCAGGCACAGATTTCATTTTCCATTTTGTGAACTATGGCAAAACAAGTTCTACTGCATGTGCAGTCCCATAATGACAAACAGGCCTTGCAAAAAATTTGCGGTTCACTCTCAAACACAATGACCACCCACACAAAACCCCACAGCTGCCACTAAGAGCTGGGCCAATTTTAGGTGACAGGAAGGAAGGGCAGGTTGGAAAATAGAATCCACGAGGGAAGCACCAAACAAATGAACCTAATCACCCTCTACAGCAATTTGTGCCCTGTACATTTGTTTGAGCCTACACCCTAAAGGTAACAAAGAATATTCAACTTAAGCTAAAGGTTTGGTATTTTTCTTATATTTCAAGGCCTCGTGTTTTCTAGCTTAGGTGTTGGATTCCAAAGTGACAGTCATCATGTCTGAAACTTGCCTCAGGTGTGAAAGGGATAAAGGAGTGTGATGTACTGTATGTGAAATCAGCTTCAGCAGTGATATCGAAAAGCTCTTGATGTATGCTTCAGAGTCTGAAATGACACTGATGTGCAGGTGTGAACCCTACAATTAGACCAGATGAATCAAAGGTGTGTCAGGGTTTGTAGCAACAAGTCCAAGCGGACAGGAAGGGCTTCTGGTTTTTGTTTCACAACTTTGTCTCTATTGTATGAATGACTCATGCACGAGCTTAAAACTATTGTTGCCATTATATTTCTATGGAGCCTGTTGACAAACTGTTGTCGGTTAGAGATGTGGAAAGATAAAAGACTGATATAGACTGATATATTCCTGAAGTGTGTCACTGGTGCGTTGGATGTGGTCAGCAGTTACAGGAGGAGAAATAGCTATAGAACCTGTCAGGTTAAGGGTCAAATATTCAAGCGTGACCTGACACTACCCCACACAGACTGACCCCTGCCACACTGTTCACACTTTCATATGGCATTCTTTTTCTTCTTCATTTTTTAGAGCTGCTAGTGAATTTGGTTTCAGGGTGTCACGCTCACATTTCCAAACCTAACAACACAGAATTTCTTCCTCTGATGTAATGACATTACATAACTATACAAATGTGAACATTTAAAGGTCCATACCAGTGTTTATTTTTTCAGCCTCTTATCTAAACATCATGTATACTTTACCACTTGCAGACCATTTTCAAATGCAAGTTGTACGGTTTTAGGCTTTTATGCATTTTCCCACCTGCTTCTGGCCACCAGAATAAGATAGGTTGTGGAATAAGAAAGGAAGTTGTAGAGGCAAACAACAAGGAGAAAACGCACTAAATGGGTGAAATCATGGATACTACATATCCATGCTAGAATACAGGCTGATGGGGCTTTCCCAAACCGTTCTCTTTTCCTAACTTAGCAGCCAGTCAGAGCCCCTCTCAACATCAAGGCCCAACACCGATTCAACATGTAGAATTGTCTGAAAAGTCTCCCATAGGGTCCGACTAGTGCCAACGGTGCGAGATACACCAGGAAGATGAGCCCTGACGGACACTTACTGATGACTTGGTATGTCAAGACCCTAAGAATGAAGCTGTCACCTTCTTGCAAAGAGATGGAAAACTGCCATAAAAATATAGGTAAATGTAAAAAAAGAAATGGGCAACTCTTAAAATGGAATATTTCTTTGTTAAACTGTAAAGTCTGCCTAAAGACAAGTACTTCAGCATCTACTTTGACTGAAAATGATGCTGGTATCACTCACTAATGATTGGTTAGGGCAAAATAACAACCCCTCCCAAATAAACAACTAACATAATTTAAGCTGCATTACCACAGTTTGACATAAAATAAGAGCTGTGATGAATTGTGCAACTCGAGCAGTTTTCAGACTCGTATGACTGGAAATCAATGGCTGCTTGAAAATTAGTACACTGAAAATTCTGAAGCAGAGCAGCACAGTTTGCATAATGCTTAGCTGTGATTTAAGACATATGTGATCTGTAGTAATTGGTTCAAAATAGGCCAAACAACTGCTATAGTCCTTAAAAACTACACCGGTCTTTGAAGTGTAGTCACAAGTGATTGTAAAGAGTTCCTGGACTTAGCCTGCGACTCTGTTGTTAGATGTCTGTGATCTCAGTGTTGCAGATGGAGCCTGTTTATCACTCTCCAGTGAGTATTGGATCAGAATCAGTCACAATGGAAAGAAAAGCGACAACCTTGGCATAGACAGCTCTCGTTTTCTGAACAACAGATTGCAGCCCACATGGTTCTGTGTAGGGGGAGCCTGCCTCAGCTTTTTAACCAGCATCTGCTCTCTGCTCTCCTGTTTGATCCCTGGCATGGCACGACACTATTTCTATTATGTTACCAAACTGCGATATGGCACCTGTAATGAAACATGTCCTCCTGGCATCAGTGTTTACTCCCCTAAAATCTCAAGTGCCACTTGAGCACAGTCACAGAGCAGATGATGCAGCAAAACATGTAGCAGCGTGAAGCTTTTCTGTGGGCCAGCGGCTGGATAGAAAGAGAGAAAAATGTGTATTTGCTTTGAAGATAATTCCAGATAAAATCTGTGCCAGCTACGGCTCCTTTGAAAATGAGTCTACAGTTTGTCACTGCCAAATGATTTAGGCGTGAGGGAGCAGCTTACAGATTTTGTTTTCACATTTCAAAGAAGGTGGGTAAGAAACAGCAGTCTAAGGTTTCCACCATCAAACAAATTAGCTAATTAGAGGAGAGGAGATGAGATGTGAACATATTAAATAAGGGTGACTAATTCATTTAGAGCATAATGTGATGAAACTGCAACTTCTGCTTCCACTCACTCCCTTGTGAAAGCAGTCTCTTTCCAACACATGATTATTTTACCACAGATAAAACATGCAAAAGATATTCTGCAGATCTGTTTCTTTTAGTTACCTTCATACTAACAGTTCTAGTTGGGAGAAAAATAAAACTCTTGAGCTCATTAAGCTTAAAAAATATGTCCCAGATGCTGGACAGAGAAGATGGATACAAGCCTCTGGGGTGCTAAAAGCTTTAATGCTCACAACACACGCGCGCGCGCGCACCCCCCATCAGAAACTACAACCTTAATGTGACAGTCAGGAACACAACACTCTGTTAGGACACACAAAATGCGAGGAAAGCGACACATTTGATTTTATGTTGAACATTTTAAACGATAAATTTTGTTTGCTTCTTCATAAGCATGAATAAATGCTACTACAGTATGTGTATGTGTAAAAATGTACGTTAATAAGGCAGAACAGTGCTGATCAGAATAATAGATACAACAGGACATACCAATTCTTGCTTCAGTCGCCTTAGACACACATCCATGTTTTTGCATTCTGGTTTGGAGAGCTGTTCCATTTTTTAATGCAAGAATTTCAGATGACAGGCTTTGCAGTCGCTGCTAGAGCATGACTGTGAAAGCTTTTCTCCTGGGCAGCAAAATGAAAACGGCGCTCATGGAGAGCAGAAAGCGATCTGCGGCTGGAGATGCGTAAATACTGCTGAGGAATGTGCGCGCGGCTCGTAATGACGCGAATCCTGTAATTAAAGTCCCGATGACGAAAATGGGTTTTCTCCAGAAAGTGGTAACGAGGGGGTCTTCTCGTGTTCGTATCAAGAGACCCAGTGTGTGTGACCTTCTCTCAGTGGCTGCTTGGCTACTGATGCGTGTGTGCTCCGCACCTATCCTCATTCAATAGGAGCTCTTCCGTAGCTCGTCCAGTTCCTTCCGATGAGTGAGTCTCACTGAGACTATCTCATTCAAAAGACGATAAACCAGAAACCTGTATTGGCACAAGTAGATTTGTGCACAGAAGCTTGTAATGATTATATAGAGAACTTAAGAGAAGGTCTATCATTTGAAAATATTTAAGTCAGAGAACACAAGTTAAACATCTCCACACACAGAATAGTCTACTGCAGCACATGAAGGAGGATGTGTCTGAAAGAAACCATACAAATCATCATTAGGGAAGTTTCCTGGCCACCTTCACTGCAGTCAGAGAGGAAGCATCTGAGCCACAAGCTTTTGTTGCCTGCCTAGGGTTTAATACTTTAACAAGGGAAGGAAGAGTTGCATATACAAGGCAGCCATTCTGGAAGTTGTTTATCACCCCCCTCCATCATATGGTTTTGACACTTCTGAAAGGTTGCATGGAAAACCTTAACCAGCCAAGGTGACAAAATAAACTAGTTTGATATATATTTACTGTATGTAAAGAGCAGATGGTGTGATCTTTTCTAGTGTGTTCTCTATATTGTATTGTGAACTTCAATACATACTTGCTACCAGCCAAAATGTGTTTAGTATCAGAGAAAGTCAAACACTAAAAGTTGAGTAGCAAAGATTTGTAATCCTGTTTGTTTTCTCTTTTATCACTCACTGCTACTTTTTTAAAATTGACATATTTCTTGAATGCTGATTTGCGTTGCCAGCGTGAATATAAAATCATTTCCAAACATACCCGGTCCTGCAGCAGAATATACTCTAGATGAGGGACACTCTAATGAATATTTCATAGGATTACATATTGCACCACATATGCCATAAAATCAAAATCCTCTCTTTTCATTTGCACTTTGAACTTGGTTTTAAAATGGACAGAGTCACAATGTATTCATGTGTGCATTGTGCAAGCAACTGTAGAAATTAAATCTAGACTAAATGGCTGCAGACACAACTCAGGCTTCATTCAGCTCCTCTGAGAGTAAACTTTGCAATGTACCTTTAACAGTTACTACAGGAATATTATGACACATGGATCAGTTTAAAGGTTCCGCTGGCTGCTTCATGATTCTCAACCATTTCATCCCAAATATGACCTTAACCTGTAGCAGCTACTTCTTGTACATGTGTCCACTTCCTCCCAGCTGTCAGCATGATGACATACTGAATGAGGAAGTGCCTCCTTGAATCACTCAGCACTGAAACACAGGCAGCAGCTGTCTCAGTAGACTGTACATCACCACTTGTTTGGTTACCCTGAAGTTTGGGTGTTCAGGCAAAACAACTAGTAGAAATTAGAGATGTGTAGGCAACCCAGTATTTGTATTTATATTTACTTGAGTAGCAATATTTGAATAGAAGTTGAAATAGATATATTAATCCTGTTTTGATTTTTATTACACTTCTAATTTTGGATATTGAAGGAGGCTAAGTTACAGATTTGACAGGGAAATGTTGCTCGCTTCCCAGTCAAACAAGCACCACTGCATTTTTGCCTTCTAAGTTGAAATAGTGGCCAAGCAACTTTGCTAGAACAGCTGTAAATTATGTTATATTAGTTCTCCAGTCTGATATGTGCAACTGTATGACATAGGGCATATAGGTGAACTAGCTACTAACTCCTCCTCCCAGTCAAACTAATTCTGCTTCACATATTGCAGGTCCAAGAGGAGAATATTTCTAGGAAATAAATATTTGTAAAAACCCAAATACTGCATTTGGATTGGGCCCCACCCCTAGTAGAAATGTAACCACCAACCTGTTAAATATAGTACAGTATGTGATACAACTACACCAGTGTACTGCACTTACTCTACAAGCTATTTAGCACAGTTACTTCACTCAGTGGGCTGATAAAAGACATGATCATGGCAAGAATAAGAATAATAGGAATGCATGAACTTGAGTTACTTATTATTACAGCCTTAGCCAAACATATTAAATGCTATTGTGGCTATAGAGATTAACATAATGGGTTTTACATTAATTGGTTTTTAAATTACATTTCTACTAGTTAGTAGGAAATGGAGGAAACGTATTTTTTTAATCTTCATAATTTGAGTTGATGACATATTTAAAACTGATAAAACATGATGAAATGGAGAGAAATAAACACAATAATGAGTAAAACAGTGGCAATAAAATATTCAAAATGATGATTTTCCACATGCTCAATGGCAGTTACAAGTTCTGTACTGTAATGAACAGAAGTGGGACTAATGTGTATTAGTATATGACCTACTTTTGCTGAATATAGTCTGTATGTCTACCACAGATGTTAATACACTGCCATCTGAAGTTCAGCATAAGTCACTGCAGGACTTGATTGATTATTGATCTCTCCCAAAGCATTATGATTTGTACAGCATACGACACCCCCTGTCCGTAGACCCTTAGCTTAGAGGGTCATTTTGTGAATTCTGGCCAAGTTATTAAGTAACAGCAGATGATAAATGTTATATCTGTTTAAATGTTCTGGGGCAACAGTGTTACATCAGAATATAATTTCTCAGACTACCACATAATATTGAAATGGCACGTACTCTTTGTACAAACATTTACCGTATGTACAGTAGAGCCTTCTTTATTTGCTGCTCTGAGTCATTTCCTCCCAGCGGTGAAGATGATTTGTGAAGCAGTTGGGTGTTTGGTTTATTAATCTACAGAGTTGTCATAGTGTATTTGAGTCATCGGCTCTTCTGTGTGATGACACCAGCCAGACGGACACTAGTGTCAAGTAATCAGCTGTGAAAGATCATCACTTATGTGGCCGGAAGTGAGCTGACACTCATTTATTCAGGGTTTTCCTTTAATTTGTCACAAGTCTGTATGTTGCAGTAGTTAGACGTAGATTTTGTTTGGTTCTTAATTTCTGCAAGGCTGTAGTATTATAAATAGGACCATTCTAATATCACCTCATTTTTTGGCTATAGCTTGGATTGGATTACATATTGAAGGTAATAATAGTTTGTTTTCTGAGTCACAAGGTGGAAAGTCAGAATATAGTGGCCCGTGTGCACTTTAATACATTGTGTATCAGTCAAGGGGTATATTAAATAATTTGTCATCAATATTGCATTCTGATAAATTGTACTAAAACAGTCTGAGCAGTGAGGAGAATCTACTAAACCAGATGATCACAGATGTGTGTTAGTGACAGTCATCAGGTGATTGTACAGCTGTGAAATAAAACCTATTTGGTTTTCTGAGATAGAAGTGGAACATTTGCAGAAACCAATGTATTGTGTGTTGCATATTAGTCAGCTATATTTTATTATCATGATTTACCTGTTAATGTTTTCTCTTATGTTTAAATGTGATTAATGATACTAAAGTAATAAAGTGACAGTTGCAGTCTTGAAAATGTACCATTCTAGGCTAGTTTGAATTTCTAGCCTAATAAACATATATTTTGATGTTCAGAATAATCGCTGAATACTATAACTAGAGTAAATATTTGATTTTATTTTTAGAACAGTAATGATATGATATTGAATATTGCTATAGACAGAGGAAATGTGTAAAGCTGTCATATGACCTCCCTCCTGAAAAAAGGTGAACTACGCTGCCATCTAGTGACACATGTACAGATAGGTCTGTGCATTCTTAACAGTCAAAGATTGTAAACTTGTAATTACAGGGAATTCTAAATGTGTAACATGATGCTGCCAAAAAAACAAGTTGGACAGATGTTGGCATTTACCAGGCTGACAAAGACTGACCGATGATGCAGTTAAACTGCACTGCATTTTTCAAGCCTGACCAGGGACTCGCAGTCAGTATATGCTGCTTAGAGTTGGAGAGTTTCAGATATTATGAAAGTTCACTGGAGTTGAAAATACCATAAATATAAAAAGTGCCTGGCTTTTTCTTGTAAAACAATTTTGTGCCTAGCTGGTTAGTGATGTTTTGTAATGTGTATGTTTACATGCAGACATGTTTTGGAGCGCTGTCGCCTCACAGCAAGAAAGTTCCAGGTTCGATCCCAGACCGACCCGGTGCATTTCTGTGCGGAGTTTGCATGTTCTCCCTGTTCCTGTGTGGGTTCTCTCCGGGTACTCCGGCTTCCTCCCACAGTCCAAACACATGCAGCTTAGATTGATTGGTGACTCTAACTTGCCCCTAGGAGTGAATGTGTGGTTGTTTGTCTAAGTGTCAGCTCTGTGATAGACTGATGGCCTGTCCAGATTGGACCCCGCCTCTCGCCCAGTGTCAGCTGGCATTGGCTCCAGCCTCCCTTTGACCCTATTCAGGAATAAGCAGTATAGATAATGGACGGATGGATATTTCTGTTTTGGTGTCAGAAGGGAGGAGAAAGATGACATTCAATTTCTGTGGCAGATTTTTATTTTCATCTGACACTTCATAGTTGTTCTAACAAACAGACAGGATACTGTATACACTGCAAACAGACAGAAAAACTTACAGTTGTTCAAAAGGATACAAAAATAGGAAACACAAACTGCAATGCCAAGACTTTTTTTGTTGTTGTAAAGTGACAATATATTTGAAGTCAAGTCCATTGTAATGACAACAAAGAATCACCCTACTGTAGTCACTGGTGTGAGAGAAGTCCTTTCTCTAACAAAACAGCTGTGGAAAAAGCCCTAATGTGTAGATACTGTATCAGTGGTAGCCAAGTCCAAGTTATGAACACTGAAACTGAGCAGACGGTCATTATTATTACCAATAATGGTGAGAAGAAAAAAAATATCTAAAGGGTTTGTAACTTTTTTATGTAGCAGCATAGAAAGTTTGACTACTTTGTTGTTCTCACAGAGTAAGGACAAGTGACCCTTTTGGCACAATACTTTCACTTCAGATTTAAAATATGGCAAAATACAGAAATGCAATACAAAGCATACCAATACAGCAAAAACCCCACTTTCATGGTCGAAAAACAAATGATTAACTCATAACTCACTTGAGCAAAACAAGCAAAAGACAAATAAACACATTTGTTACAGGAACCATAGCACATTTGGCAAGTAGTCACAAACTATTCCAAACACCAGACATTTTAAACTTTAAATGAGCAACATCATGTAGCATATAAACAATATCATCACGCAGGAGTAAGGCTGTAAACCAGATCAGGGCTCAGTACATGTTCAGTCAGTGTCAGAATGCATCTCTGAGATTGTGCACTAAAGATGATTATGATTAAGCTTTTCATAGTGCATTGCATATTGTTCTTGACCAGGGTAATAGTAGTACACAAGGTCCACTTACTAGCATTTTCTGGAGTTTTCATCTATATGTAAGGTCTACATAACGTTGGAATTTGCTCAGCTGTCGCGGAGATTGATCGGCAGAAGCTCGGTAGCCGTTAGGATTTTTCAATAGCACCTTCAGGACTTCTTAGCATTGGCTTAAAGGTTAAGCAAATCTGATGCAAACTGAAGCACATTTTAAGCAAAATTAATATAATATGGTTGAAAGCTCTGGAAAAAGCAAGCAAGTGGACTTGGTGTTGGGCCAGAATAAGATAGCTCGCTGTTGGCTGTCAAACTGTACTTGGCACATTTGTGCTTGTGTGCAGTTCTTTACAAATTCTTTACAAATGTAATTTGAAAGTTGTAAAATAGTTTTAAAAAGTGTATCAGCTGTTAGAAACTCAGTTTTCTATGAAAGCAGAATAAAATGTATTTTTAATCTCAAGACAGAACTGTACAGCTGAAGGTATCCAATTTGAGCAAGAAAGGAAACACCAGTAGATTTGTTTTAAACTCAGAATTATCATAACATAGCAGTGATGACACAGGGTTACAGATGTCTGACAGACAGCGGCGTCTGTTTTTCTTCTTTGTTAAAATGTATCCAAAGGAGAAAAGAGAGGAAAGAAACTATCTTTAGCCAAGACAAGGTGACTTGATGCCTCAAAATGTTTTCATATTTGCATATTTTACCATGTTCTCTCCATTTCAAAAGTCTATAAATAACCAGGTTTCAATGCAGTTTATATTTTTAAGTTTAGTTTGAAAAACATGAACTGAACATGAATTGGCCACATCCCTGTAATCTTCCAAATGGTTCTTTTAACTCACAGTGGTGCTCAACCTTTTTTTCTATTCAATACAAAAAAAAAGCCCATTTATGCTCATGATAAATATTCAAGCCCAGGGAACTCGAGTGAGCGGGGGCAGGGTTAGAGTCGCATCTTTTTTTTTTTCCACAGAACAAAAAGCACCAATCACCTTTACTGCATACACCAGCCACTTTTTTAGGTACACCATTGCAATTGTGTGCACTTCATTGCAACACTTCTGCCTTAACATCTGTGTTTATGATGCTCAAAATGTTGCATTATTGAAGTCATGGTTAAAGGTGGTGTTGTACTGGAGTACATTATATTCAGAGGTTTCTCTATATTTTTGTCTTCCCCAGCTACATACGTGAGATGGTCAGAATATTAGGAACATCTCTAAACATCACCTTTAACTATGACCTTGAATTTATACATTTTGAACAATTTCACCAAAAACTGAAACGTTCTTCATAAACACAGATATTAAGATGGAAGTGTTGCACTGAATTGCATACAGTTGTACAGGTGTACCTAATAAAGTGGCCAGTGAGTATATAAAGAAAGTCATATATTAATTCTTATAGATTGTATATTAATATAGTAAAAATAGTATGGATATATTTGTTTTCTTTAAAGGATAAGGTTATTGGTATTCTACAGTTATCTTATTCTCAACAAATGCCAAAACCAAAACCAGATTGATCCTAATAACAACTATAGTCTGTGTAGCTTGATGTGCTGTAGCTGTGCTATCAACCCTTACTGTTGTCTAAAATGTATTTAAATTTAAAGGCAATATCGCTAGTTCTGATGCATCAAAAAAAAAAAAAGACTCCATCATCCACTGTGAGTCTGACAGTGTTGTAGGACTTCACTGAGAGCGTTTTAAAAACGCAGCACTGAGCTACACCATTGCATGTCCCTTCAGTTTGAACAGTAGTAGATTATTGTACAGTGCTGTACATAGTTTATTCTGAGTATTTCCAGTTTACACTGTCCTGGTGCTGTAAATGTGCACTGGTGCTTTAACTTTGTATTAAAGGATAACTTTGGTTTTTAGGAACCTGCTGTATTTCCCTCAAAGGTAGGGACTCTATGCTAGTTCTAGTTTTGCTGTCGCTTCCAGATTCTCTGAAAAAAAAAAAAAAAAAAAAAAAAAAAATCAAACACAGAAACCCAAAGAAGTCAGTTAGCCTCAGAGAGTGCTCGAACAAACATGATTTCATTCAAATCATTTTTCACAGTTATCTCTGAGTAAGGCAGAAAGCAAATCTGGGGTAGCCATTACAGCGAACCGCATAGAATAATCACCTGATCAGCTGCAAGGGCTCTTTCAAACTCTACACAAGCTACGCAGCTGCAAACGCATCCAGCTAGGCAAGGAGGGTTTGGTGCGTACTTGTGTGGCAAAATATGTTGTTCAAAATTTTGTAATGCAACGCAAGCATGAGTGTTACTTCACATGTTTCAGATAGTGGTGCAAACACTGTACTCTGAAGTCTGTTAAGAAGATCTGTTTCCAGCGTCAAAAAATTGGACTGTGCGAAGTTGTCTCTATTCATCGGCATCTTTATGATTTGGCAAACGGCATGTAAACTAGTGGAGGTTTAACAGATGCAAATTTATGCACGCTTCTTCTATAGCAATTTTCGTTTTCCACAGGATAAATCACATGACCTCAAATTCACATTTCAGTGATATGAAATTAGCAGCATTGGTACCGTGATATTTTTTTTTTTTTTCAAATGATGCTGTAAAGAAAGTATTTTAATTTCAGTTTTATCCTCAAAATACTTCAGACAACACATAACACTAACAAGACCAATCAAATTCAAATAAACACACTCAACACCGCATCTTTCTTCCAACACATTTAAAGTAAACAAAATACCCTTTTCACTATGAATTCACTTGAAATTTACTGTGACTTTGTGGTATCTGTTGATGTACGGACAATTGAACATTGTCTTTCTTTTTCACAGTACTTGCTGTGAAACGTCTGAACTGCTGTTAGAGACTATTAGAAATGCAGTGATTCTGTCCGTATCTACAGTACATACACAACATGGCGAGTGTGTAATTCTTGGTTCACATACCTACTGTACAGTCCTCTACCTCAGTAATGTCTCCACATCACCCGTCTTCTTTTAAACATCAGCTGGTGACTCCTCTGGGGTGCAGAGCTTTTCCTGTTGACCCTGTGAGATGGGACACAGAGCCTCCAGCACTGTAATGAAACGTGCTTTTTTGTCTTCCTCCTCTGCATCCTGTTGATTTATTCTCTCCTGCTGAGCTAAGTTACATCTGTCAGCCAGAGAGTCACAGAGCAGAGACTTTGATGATGTTGGTGCCAGCGGAGCTTGTTGTGGTTTGGATGCTTGGGGCTGCAGGGTGACCCAGGGGTGGGGGCGGCCTCTGCTGTGGGGGCCCATGGAGGCCATCACCATCAGGGGTCAGAGCAGAAGGTGTCGGGAGGCAAATGATCGCTGTTGTGATCTGGGCACCTCTGCAGTTGATCCTGCCACTGTCATCGGTTTTTAGGTTGAGGTTTGAACGACTGAAGGAGGAAAAAAGTAGAGGCGGTGTGTTTGTGTAATGTACAGCATGTTTACCCAGAATATGTGCAGGCTTGGTGAACACAGCATTTTTTGAAAAAAAATAACACAGTACAAAGGCCATTACATGTAATCTTGACTTAGCTTTGAGTACTATTTGAGATGAGACCTTTATAATGATGGACATACTTCTTTCCTCTGGACTAGTCCATCTAATTTGAGCCATTGTTCGTAATAAAACCCTCTAGAACATCATAAATACATATTCCGGACATTTCCTCTAAAGCAAATCGTTCTGCATGTTTGGTTTTTAAAATCTATTTCTTGTTATATTTTTGAAATTAATTTGTAAGTTAACTATTGATTGTTATTATTTATGCAGGTTGAGGCAACATATTATTACACCAATAACTCTATTTTGAAAAGTAGTTAGTGAAAAGTAGTTAGCTTTGAGACACCAACTAGTGTAACTAGTGGATGTTTTGGCTCTTAATTGTTAACTAGTAAATACTGAGTCTCGCTAGTTAATTAGTAGGCCAAAACAGACCCTAACTCGTTACTAGTCAGCATTTTTGTCTTGACTAATTAACATGTAAGCTACAACATGCAACCACTAGTTAACTAGTTGCAGTTCATCAGGTCATTCTGTAATTTGCATATGTCCCATTTGCTGCTGCTGGTGAGCTTTACCTGGTGGTGTGTGATGGCAGGTCACCACACTGTATGTGGATGGCCCTGAGCTCCTGCAAAGGGCCCTGGTGCATTGGGATGGGGTGGGTGGAGGGAACACTGACACTGGGCAGAGCAGCGTTTCTCTTTACTCGGTGGCTACAGCAGGTACCCACAGAGCTGTCATGGCTGCATATAGAGGGGCTGCGCGACGGGTCATTCTGCAGTGCTGTTTCTAAACGGTTCTGCTTGTACATCTGCTCATCCACAAACTCATGAGCCTGGAGAGAACAAACAGGATAACACTTAAAGACAAACCAGGGAGAGAGTGAGGAAGGAGAGAGGAGATGCAGTAAGTAGATAAAATACTCAAGAGATCTGATGCCTGGAGTGACACATCATATCTAACTTTATAAATAAGTAGACTGCATCAAAGTAAAATAATTAAGTCAGTATAATAGTTAATTAATAGTCAAAATAGCAATGGCAAACCCATACACATAGTCCATTTCATTATACTAGTTTACTAGAAGGCAGATCCAGTGTCACCATTTTAGACATATTTGTTTTCTCTACAACACTACAGTACTACTAGTGCACAGACTTGGAATTATCCTCTGTTTACACACTTAATGTGTACTTAAATGACAAACTAGCATATAAACATTTTGAAGCATTTTTGCCAACTGATTTCAAGAACAAGGTTGGCAAAGGAGGAAACGTTAGTGTCACAGTGATCAGCATCTGTAAGAGCAATTAAAATCCTTGGAAGACTCTTTTTAGATGTGCTTTGGAGGATCTGGGAGTTACAAGGGAACGTCAATGTCAAGTACAAACTTGTGTCAAGGCAACTTTGGAAAGCACACAATAAAAGTTCATCATGACTAGTGACTGAGTGGTATAAAACATTATCGTACAATCCTTCAATGACAGTGAATACATATTTTAAAGCCAATTAACGGGCTTGTACTGTATTGTATATGAAAGCGTACATATGCTGTACAGTATACAACTATAGGTAGCTGGCATATACCAGGGGTCATCAATTATATTTACCCTCCGGATATTTTCTGATTCCATTAATAGGCTATACTACAGGCTGGATGTTGACGATCCATGGCATATACTGTACTGTAAGATAAAAGTGGGCTCAAACAGAGAAATGTGGACTTACTGTGGTTTTCTCCAGACAGTGCAGTAGGTGGTGGTGTTGGCTCTCTAACAGAGAGGTGGACTTGATCAGCTTTTGCTCATCCTCTTCTGTACCCTGAGATACACACACACACACACACACACACACACACACACACACACACACACACACACACACACACACACGAGTTGTTAAGTGTTCAAATTGTTCAGGACATTTCAATGACTGAAATCACTCAGCATTAGTGGACAAATTACTCTGATATTCACTGAAGAGTCCTAAATTAAACTTTCATCAGTCATGAAAAGTCAGTGACATGATACTTTTCTTCTGCTTTATGTAAGTCATTTTCTACTGAACTATCTTTGCTTCATGCTTGCTGATTTCAAGTCTCACATCCATTATGAGCAGGTGGACAACACCACCTGCCGTCGGCTTTCTAATAACATAGCCAATGGGCCACATTTTTGTTTGATGTGATTTGATCTCTCGGCCTTTGGCCTTTTCTCTATTGTACATCTATTGTGCCATTAGAAGCGTTACTGCCTTTGTTTTGATTCCTTGTGTAAGTGTGCTACAAAATAACTTCCCCTTATGTTTTATTAAACTAATAATTAAAATTCTAAAGCTACTGTTGTCAGCTGTCTTTACTTAGAGTAATTGTCTACTGCAGGTATGCGCCATGCTGTTTGATGCTCTAGGCAGCTGAGAAATTAATGATCTATGAAGTTTTGGTAAAAGGAAAAACAACAGAGTTGAGAAAACAAAAACTTATGGAATCTTTTTTGGTATTTCTCCAAACAGGACTTGGTTTCAAAGCTCAGGCTCCAAATAACATGAAAACTGAAAACAAATTAATTCTCCACCCACAGCACACATTGTTACTCAACGGATTTGGGTAGGAGGCGATCCAGCCCAAGGACTCTTCATTCAGATTCCAGACACATGAACAATACAGACATGTAGGCACGAGAACAGCACGCCTTCTGGTTTTTTCAATGTGTGGATTTACCCGCAGGCAGAAACTGTATTAAAGACACTGTGCAGTCTGAATCCGAGACCTGTTTTAAAGTTTGTTCTTTTCATTCAAATAAGCTCGAGCATCTCAGTCACAGATCCGCCATGTTTGATTTAACTTGATTTGGACTGACCTAAATGGAGAAGACGTTTCTTTGTCATAAATCATGTTTCTTGGTACTTTACAGCTGCCTGATGTGATTTTCTCTCCCAGGTTTAAGAAAAACAGATTTCCCATCATTCAGGGATTTTTTTATTTTCAGCATCCTTCTCTAAACAACTTTTATAACATTTCTGTGACAAAATGTCAAGTTCCTGCAAATTGTTCTAAAGAATGGTAATTTGTAGTCTTCAATCTTGAATCACTGCTTTTCATCATATAGATGCTGCAAATGTGCACTGTCAAATCCTGCTTATTGACTTGCAGCTTTACGCATAACAGTGTGTACAGTTACACACAATGACACTTTTAATATATTCAACATAGAAAAAAACTGCGAGGAATGACAAATGTCTGTATTCTCATGACGTATATCATCATCAGTGCAAGGCAGTAATTCATTATATATTGAGGCACTGCGGTAATGTAATAGCTTTTTTCAGAGGTCACAATTTGAAATTCAGTAATTACATTACATTTATTAATCCCAGTAGCATCAGCTTGTTTGCTGTCTTAATGGAAATTTGATGAAGGGCTATAATTAGTTTGGTCTCTGTGCCTTAAGTGTGAAAACTGGTACAGGAGATGGATTTTACTGTGAGCCTGGTTCCTGTGAACAGCTGTGTGCAGCCACCAGGGCGCTAGATGCTGGATGGTCAAATCAAATCAAATCAAATCAAAT